AGCATTTTATTTAAGTTTCCATAATAAAAGGAACGTAAACGTATTATAGTTTGTGTTTTGCTGCATATCTCTAAGCGATCATGTTGTGCGTAATTGAGAATTACTGGTCGTAGAATTATGTTGAACAGATCAATGCATACTTCTAGCCCCTGTATCTGTCTGATCAGAAACAGGACCATATGTTTCATACATCCACATAAAGGGTAAATTAGTACATATCAACAGTTAATTATTTACCTAAAATCACCCATGTCTTATCTCTTGTTTTCATTGCATTATGTTCATCAATAATGAGCAAATACTTAACATTGTTGTAATATTGATAATGACTAAGCTTCTACCAAAATATCTTCTTCTTTTCTTGCTGACTTCTGTATAATTAATTTAACCAGTAAGTAGTTCTTTTCTCAACTGAAATTGTGTCCCACTTGTTGATATTATGTTTAAGTTTCTTATTTGTGTATTAAAATTTAGTTCTGTACCTTTGACCTTATGCATAAAAGAATTTTAGAAACAGCTAGACATGGGTACCAGCATGTTTAAAAAAGAATGTCAGATTGTTACATGTTGATAATTTTCTTTTTTATTTGTTTCTGGAACAAATGCAAATAATATATCAAAACGTTTAGTGCTATTATTTCCCCCAATTGCACTGACAGAAAAGTTCTATAAATGCATGCTAAACAGACTATAAAATTCAGTAAAATGGTGTTGTTAAAAGTGTTACTTTCCAAAGCATGATTAGAAATCTGCTGTTTAAAAGTAACCATGTGCAGATGCACTGTTTAATTTTAAGAAATTATTTTGAAGCGAAGATATTTAGATTAAGGTTGAGTAAATCAGAGATTGTAAGTCCTAAAAGTCAAGCATGTTTATTAATCAGTGCCAAACAAGTTTCACAGGTAATTAACAAGAATTTGACATTAGTTCTATCTAGTAGTGTAATTACAGTTTGTATCTCTGTAGTTTAAATTTTAATTTTGTTACACCTATATTTGTCTCATACTAACAACTATCAATTATAACTGTTCAGATTAGAAACATTGGATCTTTTTGTCAGGTGATCTGGGTAAACATCTACCATTACTGCAGCCTCCCATTATAACTGTTCAGATTAGAAACATTGGATCTTTTTTGTCAGGTGATCTGGGTAAACATCTACCATTACTGCAGCCTCCCTTACCTACACTTTCCAGGTATACACAGTTTATCCATTAATACATTACTCAGTGCAGTCACTTTGCATTGAGAAGAAAGAGGGCTAATGTATTCAAACCACTCTGATTGGTGTAAGGACTAAAAATCTATTTGAAGAAATAGTAGATTGGTTCTTTGATGACTAATATAATAAATGATTGTCTCAGAAACATTTACTGCTCTAACATCTTCTTGTTTAATGACGTAAAAGTAGAATAAGTATGTAAAGTAAATGGTACAAAGTATATAAATTGGACACTTTATGTTATTATTATCATAGTGTTATATTCCTAGAACAATCTCACTGGGAGGAAACAATTTGTTTTGGTGACTGAGAATTGTCATCAGTATTGGTTTGTAATCAGAACAGGAAATTGACTCCTTTGAGAAAACAATAAAGGTACAAGAAGGTGTGGAGACATATTTCAATCATATATTTCCTTGTTTTTACCCACTTTTGATCTATGATTTAATTGTTTTGTGAAAAATAGGGTATCAGAAAGTTCATACTTGCCAATACTTCTGTAATGGACTAATATTACCCCTTCTTGTAATGATACTATACAGGTTGTGAGGCAAACCCTCATATCCAGTCTCTTAAATTGCACACAAGAGCATTATTTTCTGTATGATTTCATCACAAAATAGACTAAAAGGCTATTCATTTTCTCTGTTGAAGGGTTGGCATTAAGAAGCTGTGTTGTCCGACTTGTTCATTAATATAATTGGTCCTTATCAGTATAATTGATGTTTATGAATAAAAGGCATTCAGAAATGAGGCACCAACCCAACAAAAAAAAGACATTTAGGTCAATAATATGGTCTTCATATAGTCAACAAAAGACCAGTGTCTTTACATCTTAATTGCTCAAAGTTTAGAAACCTATACAGAGATAATCAAAAGATCTGTCAACACACTGTTTCCTACAGGACCAAAAATCATTCAAATCTAACTAAAGACAACCATGTATAACTTTGAACAGGCACATGGACATACAGTGGGGTTAAACTAACTTTGTAGGCTATGAGCTGTCCTTTTTTTCATATAATTCAACTATTTCCCAACATAAAAGTGCTGTAGTTCTTTGCAGATTATCTTGTCTGATGGGATTTCCTTTTGCTATATACACAATAGATTATATACAGTTAACAGTTAATGAATGAAAGCTTCAAATTGATGTACTGGTTAGCATGTACCAGAGAAAAAATGTGGGTCAAACAACTTGAGTCTTTTGATTGCAATGTCAGCATATTTCTAGTTATTATTATCATTGACAGATATATAGTTTGGATGCAGGTATCTGTCATAAATGTTAACTATATGATCAACCTTTCTCTTTATCTAAATCATAATAACATGCTCACTGTCTTCTTCATTCATTGCTTAAACTGAGCTAAAAATAGAACTGTGAAAGTCTTTGGAGTAAAGTAAAGCCTTAAGGTCATGAACACACCTGGAGCTATAGTTTAGAAATTTATTTCAATAGAAGTGCAGATATTGATAATGCTCTAAATAGTCCCTACTAGGGGAGGGTTGAGATCTCACAAAACTTGTTTTACCCCACTGTATTTTTTCGCCTTTCCCAAGTCAGGAACCTCTGGCCTTTGTTAGTCTTCTATATTTTTTAAATTTTGGTTCATTTATATGTTTCGGAGTTTAGTGTGACATCCATTTTTATGCCCCACCTATGATAGTAGAGGGGCATTATGTTTTTCAGTCTGTGTGTTCTTTCGTTCGTCCGTCCGTCTGTCCCGCTTCAGGTTAAAGTTTTTGGTCAAGGTAGTTTTTGATGAAGTTGAACTCCAATCAACTTGAAACTTAGTACACATGTTCCCTATGATATGATCTTTCTAATTTTAATGCCAAATTAGAGTTTTGACCCCAATTTCACGGTCCATGTGCAGGATTTTCTTGCTGTGTTGAAGACCCATGGGTGGCTTTTTGGACGGATTGTTGTCTCTTTGACACATTTCCCGTTTCCATTCTCAATTTTATTTACGTGTGATGTTTAATTTCAATGAAATTGCTACTGATTATGCCTTAAATAGTCCTTTTGGTGTAAGCTGCTTTGAATTGCCTAATAGAAGAATAATGAAAAGTTCGATGTCAGCTGATTTTCTCTGGTGCAATTTGTCAGTTTATTTCAATGAATTTGCATTGTTAGTTTAGTCAGATAAGTAATCATAACCAAAAGTTCCCTGGTACTGTCACTTGGTTATAAACCAATAAGAAAGAAATGATGTGGTGAGCTTTTAGGTTCTTTTGTCTGTTATGGCACTGATTATATCATAAAAATATTAATATGGCATAAAGAAAATTGGCTTTAATCAATCCTCTGGAATTTGTATTGCATACTTATATGCCCCCATGGGATTATAAATGGTTTGGAATAATTTGTTGGAATCTTTATGGGATGCTCCTTTCCAAATGTACATTATCACACATGTTGTTTTATTAAGACCCAAATTTATGTTAATTGACATGCAGTTATTTCTATGCATAAATTATCAGTTTATGACATTTTATCTATCTCTACCTACTTTTCTATTGCTTGATTATTTACAGTAGTTCTCTAGGTTGCTATAATGCAAAATCATTTGTTGGTAAGGGAGTGGCAGGTGAGAAAAGTAGGTGCCCTAAGTGCTCATATATTTTATTAAAGTTGTGCATTTCACTATTTCATTTTAAAAGATATATGAGGAATTGTTTTCTTGACTTGAAAATTATGTAATTAATTAGATAAAGAATATTGCCCTGTTTTAAATTTAGCAAGAAAGTCAGATAAGGACGGTTTAAGTCTATTTATTAACTGACTTACCTAGATTTAACACTATTTACTTGTAATTGTAAGTGCAAACTTGTGTATATAATAAATCTGATCGAAATCAGCATGTATTTACAGACACAGTGCATTTTGGGTGCAACATTCGCTTGAATTTGTAGGACAAAAATCAGCTGGTTAAAGAAATGGTTAGAATTGTATCTGTTGTGTGTACATCTTTAAATTTAAAACATTATAAACACTGCCTTCCACCCTACTACATCTGGTTAATTAGAAATTAGATGCCTGCTTTATAAAATATGATGAGGACCATATGGCCCCTGGTTACTTACCATTCAGTGAAGGGAATGATCATCTCATTAGAATATGGTTATAATAACCGCATAAAACGTGTAGATGGATGAATATTTACTGATTTTCAATAGTTTTTTACTCAGACTTTTGTCCTACCTATATTACATCCCACGAAGTATTTAAGTACCTGTATAGACTGCATCGTTGATATAGTTCTGAGTGAATAATTCAAAAGCTATTTGGGAAAAACAAAATGTAATGATATAGATCTATTGGGTTTAAATAAACATCATAAACAAAACACAAATAGAAAAGATTTACCAAAATTCAAATCATTAATAAATGTTTTACATGCATGTTAATTTGAAACATGGTTTTGGTTTATTTTTGTCAAACTTTTGGCCTCCATGAAGAGATATTAATCAGATTGAAGAACATTATCACAAGTATAATGAAATAATGTAAACGCCCCACGGTAAACTGCTGTTCTTAGACCTTCCTTAATTAAGTGGGGGATATAGATTGGTATACTGTCATTGAAACTTTCTAATTTATTTTTTTCGAACTTTACATTCTATACACGTATTTAATATCAAGGCCTTTGAACATCTATGTATAAGAGAAAAAAAAGGAATAAAATGTTGCACATCAAAATATAGTTGGTATAGAAATTATAATGTTCATGTAGATTTTAATTTCATGTTATTTTTTACATTCTCTTTTTAGACAGGGGACTTGTTACGATATAAAATCTCCCACAGACCAGACAGACAACAATTGGTACAGCAACACATTCTAGAAGGTATGATATAGATTTAAGAAACTTACACAGAAAATTGTAAGGAACCAAGGTAGTAATAGTGAAAACAAAAGAAGTCTCTAGTTAGAATTTACAAATTATATTTACAAGTAAACATTCATCAAATAAGCTTGGAGCTACTGCTTAGAGCAGCTTTGTGTCAATGAAAATTTCAGAAGCTTTTCTTAATTCTGTTTAGACTTCATTAAAGAAAGTGCATCTTGTTTTTACTGCTTTATTTGCTGAGAGATATACCATTTCCCTATAGATTACTAAATGCACATGGCTTTAATATGTGTTCATCTTAACTAGGTGAAGGTACTAATATTTTAGATGGTAATGATTGTTAACACTAAAAAGCTTTATTTCATTTAGAAGTATGATTAAAAATTGTTAAATGACATAACCGTCAAACAGGTGGCAGTAAATTGATAAATATATGAATGAGGATTGTTGCCTAACAAATGTAATATTGTCCAGCCTGTTTACACCTGTTTTGGCATATTGGAAGAAACATTTTAAGGAGGAGAGAAAATGCTATAAATAATTGCAATGTACTAAAAATAATTCCTACAGTGTTGAAATAATCAAGATACTTTGAAGTTTCAAATTTTTTGAACAATTTCCTGACTTTAATTGATTTTATCTTATAGACAGTAATTAAACATTGCTATTTCATAATATTTTAAATGTGGGCTATTTCTAGTGATTTTTGTGGTAATTTTAGAAGTTAGAAATGCAAAACAATAGTAGGGTTTCAATTTTTGTTTGTTATTTTCAGATTTTACAAGGTGCACCAAATTTTATAAGTTTGTGATAAAGTAATTCGAAAAAGTTATGATTTTAAGCTTTTTTTTTTTGCCTTGTAGGATTTATCGATACAATAACATATTGCAACAATAATTACTCCCATATATAACTCAATTTATTTCAAAAATATATAAATCACACTAATATGGACTATTTTGTAAATCAGTCTATTAAACTAAATATAATGTCTAAGATGATATATTTGAAGGTTTAAACTAAATAAATATAGTCTGACTGCCTTAATTATTTGATATATTTGAAGGTTTAAAGTAAATTGATATAGTCTGACTGTCCAAATTGATATGAACAGATATAGGCTGACTATCTCAATGATATTTGGAAGTTTAAACTAAATAAACATAGACTGACTGTCTAAATAGATATATTTGAAGGTTTAAACTAAAGTTTCTTCTGCTCAAAACATTATTGATTAAACCATAACTTTTTTTGCAGATTTTAAAAATGTTTTATAGTACATGATATTTTTATTTACCATTGTAAGTTCTATGATAAGTTCGGCACTAAGACATGCACTTTAACCGACTCAACACCAAGACTGTTCTGACATTAACTGACTTTTTTGTTGTCATTGTTAAACTTTTGGCCTCCATGAAGAGATATCAATCAAATTGAAGAAAAATGTGAAGAGAAATAATTGTGTTGATATGTCATTGTACATTGTATGATTATACATGACACATTACCTATGGACAGTGCCAAAGAATCCCGTCAAACTTTGGAACTGAACCAAAACCTTGAGTTGTTGATTAATATCAGGCCTCTTTCCATTCCTACTTATCATTTGATGGAAAACTATTAATTAAATAATACTCAAACCTGCATTATCAAGTGTTCATGTTAAGTCTAAACTCTCGCTCTTAAGTGGCAAAAACACAACTGAATATTCATTAGATGTGCATAAATATAAAGTTGCTAATTAACAGGTTTATGATCATCAATGTATCTTAAAGTTCATCATATTGGTTAATTAATAGAAAAAAAATTTCTTGTGCCACCTGGCAGTATTTGAAGTTATACACAGTTGGAATACTTCTGTGATTAGAGGGAAGCATTAAGCTGACATCAGGCCCTGAATGCAATACACAAACTTGTGGACATTCCTTATTTAAGACATAATAATTTCCAAGTGAAAAGAATAAAAAACATCATCATTTTTATGGAAATATAATCATGCTAGCATTTTTTTATACTGTTTGGTTAGGCTACAATGACATCTGTTGAACCTGGTATAATGTTTTTTGTTTAAAGTTGACAATTGCATGATTTTGGACATGTATGTAAAACTTCCAACTTGCTGTTGAATTTTTTCAACATTTTTATCCTAATTTGTTAGCCTTGCACATTCATACATATATGAATGTACATGACCAGATATACATAAACCAATATTGTACAAACATTAAAAAAGGAGTTACAAATATTCTTGAGTACTAGAATATGATAGTTATAACAAGCAATAGGTCACAGATTCACAACTTCCTACATTTAAGGACCTTTTTGAAATTTGAATTGAACAAACACACATTTTGTCAATACTGTTGGAACTAAAAACCAACATTTGAATATACATTAAGGATGTAAAGTTCATTCTTGTTGCTGGCTTTATTTATGCTAACTTGTATTTTTTTTGTATTCATAACATGACTGTAATGATGTATCAAATCAATGAGAGGTTTCTTTCATTATGTATGTAAAATTGTTTTGTCATTAGGTTGATTTTGACCTTTGATTTATCTGTACTTACAGAAAGATCTTGTTGTCATTAGTTTGGTTATGACCTTTGATTTATCTGTATCTAGAGAAAGATTTATTTTCATCTCATCTGATGATCGACTGTGAACATGGTGTACTTACTATAGTCTTCTTATTGTGCCAAAAGTTGTAGGATAAACTGAAGTCTTTATTAACCTGTAACTGTTGACCATCTTTTTCATAGACAGATCTTTTTCATAGACAGTTTTTAAATGGCACACCAAGCAGGTTGTGCCTATAAACTGTCAAATAAGCATGTAATTCTCTGTGTAATTTTTTAAAAATAATCTTAATATTTAATTTGAACAAAATGTCAATTTTCAGAGAATATAAAAAATTACATTATCATTATCACTGTGATTAACGAAAGAAAAGTGCTCTGAGCAAAAGTACTGGTTTTTTGTGAATGCCAGATTTCATTTCTCGCACTCAATGGATTGGTTTTTCAGTTTTACCTTTATAAATGTGGTGGTTTTTTTTTAACCATAAAATCTTGAAAATTAGTCACACCAAAAATAGTACTTAAGTGAATCAAACCATAAAGGCAACAGCTTTGCATGCTTACAGTTCTAGTTATTACTTTAGCATGTCTCTATTCATATACTAATGCTTTATAACACATGTCTTCTTATAAACAGCCAATAAGGGTCACTGTCCTCTTTATAGCAGTAAAGTGTTAATTTAACATGTCATTGATCTCAAAACAGGGAAGAAGTTAGGCAGAAAATTGACTGCTTTCTATAATGTTAGTTAGTTACCTTGGTTAAATGATTTTATCTACAATGATCACACTGTCTTTGAAAAAAAAATCAAAAGCAAAGGCAAAAGAGCAGTTACATTTTACTGATCATGGACTTGTTACGATGGAAACAGTGTAATTATGAGGTTCATGTACATGTTTAAAACAAAAAAAAATCAAATCTTTACACAGGTATTATTGCTTAAAAAAATGATTTTGTTTTGAACACTTTTACATGTTCGGAATTAATTATAACATACACAAACATTTAACTATGTATCAGTATAAAGATTTAACCATGTACCAGTACAAACATTTAACCATGTACAAGTACTATCATTTAACCATGTACCAGTATAGGACTATGCATGATGTGATCCTCCCTTTTTTCAGATACCACTATAGACCCATCTCTACATGAGCGACAACGTTTATTGAAGCGTGCTCGACTTGTAGATGATCTTAACGTCAAATTAAATCACAGACCAGGACCTCTGGATCTTATGAAGGGAAATATTTTAAAAACTGAAGATGAAAAGTTTATGGAAGCTCTTCAAGGTAGCTAATGATTTCATTAAATTCTGGAAAATCTAGATTAAAAGATGTAATAAAAATGATTATTTGTAGAAAGCATATAAATTATCCTATGTGTTCATCAAAAATCCTTTTATCAATGAATTAACATTTGTTGTTCTAATATTGTTAAATTTTTTTAGAAGTTATGTATGATGAACTTTTAAAATAACAACAAATTAGATTTCGTTATAACAGCATGAACATTGGCTTTTACTGTTGTGTTTTCTTTATTAAAAGTTCAATGCTTAAATGCCAGTACTTTCTATTCAAAAGGAAAAGAATACATGTATTATAAAATGAAAATGTTGGTATGAATTTTAAAAGAGAAACATATATGTTATTTATAGGGAGGGGTGGTTTAAAGAATATCATAAATCTTCCTTTGTGAAAGACAATGATTTTGTGAAATTTCTTCAAAGAAAAATATTCATGTTACATGGAATGTGATTTTAACATGTAAATTAAAGTATGATACATGTATTAAAACAAGCAGGAAAGCTTATTTATTTGGCATGCTTTAAAGATTGTTTTTAGGAAAGTTAAGCAGCACAATTATTAGCCATTCATACAAAAGGATCCTTCATTTCAAAGCTTTTCTAGCTGTAGCGTTCAGCAACCAGTTAATGCATATATAGTCTATTAATTGTTAGCATATTGCTATTTACATGTATATTCCCTTTCTATGTATATCAGTACTTTCACATACGTGTACTGCATTCATTGTATTTTGAATTTACCTTTTGAGATTGTCACAAAATGATTACTGATCCCTGACACAACAGCTGATTAATGATGTGTATGATATTTTATAGATGGAACATTGCCATTTCTACCTAATGATGATGACCATCCATTTACATTTGATGATGACAGTAACACAAGTGAAGGAGCCTATTCTCCATCTCAGGGGGATGATTCTGGAATGTCAGATATTGGTAGTCCTCCAATTATTCCTCCAGCACCTAGTCCACCCAATCAAAATAAAGCACAAAAACTCTTTCAATCCAATTTGGCAAAATTGCCAGTTGTTACGACACAAACATTTAGTATAACTAATACAAATAACATTACTAGTGGAGGGAATTATTCAATTGCTCAAGTGAAAAATGGCAACTCAAATTATGTGACCAAAGTGCGGCCAAAAAAATCCAACCGACCAAAAACTCAGACAAAATCTAAAGTAATCAAATTCCATGAATACAAAGGACCTCCTAATGTTGTGAAAAGTACTAATCCTGCATCAACATCGACCACACAGCAGCAACAACAACAACAACAAATACAACAACAACAGCAACAATTACTACAAGAAAAATCTGATACACCATATCATATTTTGCTTCAGCAACAGCAATTGTTTCTGCAGTGGCAGTTAGAATTCAATGGTAATAATTTGAATTTGAACAAACTTGACAAACTACCACCAGGTGTTGTTATGTCAACAGGAACAACATCATCAGTAACAGTTACATCACCGACACCAATGAGTGCAAATCAAGGACATTTTCAAACAGTGACACAACAAACAATAACTTCACCATTAAGTGTAAGTCAGCCTCAGTTGGTATCACAAGCAAATATTATGACATCAATATCACCATCACCATCAATTCAGACAAAGATGGTGTCACCAACAGTTGTTCAATCATCCCAATCACCAATATGTCAGCCACAAGTTCAACTGAACCCCCCTAGTAAACCAGTTGCTACAAAAGTTGTGCCACATAAACCTCTGGCCAATTTGGAAGATATGAAAGTGGCTGATTTGAAAGCTGAACTTAAAAAGCGTAATTTACCGGTGTCTGGACCTAAACCACAGTTGATAGAAAGGCTAAAGCCATATGCAGATACTATTATCACAAACAGTTTAAATATTGCCTCTAAAAATATTTCAGCATTGTCAAAACTACCTGTTCAGGCAATTGTAAATGTGAAAAAATTCCCAGTTATTAAATCTGATGATGTTTCAATGAGCAATAGCTCTCCAACATCACCTCGTACTCTGGAATCATTCATGCCTTTATCACCTGAAATAATGGAGATGGTGACCTCTCCTCAAGCATTAATTTCACAACAACAAAATAACATTATTCAGAATTCTGTGCCTATGACAGTGGATAATTCACGGCCTCCGTCCGTGGCACCAATGGATGTGGCAATGGAAGTTGATCAGACACCTGATCCATCCAATATCATTCAGCAGAGTTTTAATCAAAGTAGTTTATCTCCATCATCATCAACAATAACTCTTGTAACATCACCAACACAACAACAGGTTCATTTAATCCAGGCACCACTGGATCAACAACAAATCCAGATCATACAACCTCAGACAGCTGTGCCCAAAAACGGAGAAGCATTATCACCAGAACAACTAATTAGGGAGGAAATGCTGCAGCAACAAAGACATAAAATATCTGAACTCCAGAGACAACTTGAGGATTCTCAACGAAGGTTAAAACTACAACAGATGCAACATCAACATTTGCAGCAACAACAGCAGCAGTTAAATCAACTCCAACAACAGACAGCTCAATTAAATCAACTTCAGCAACAGACCCAGTTGTTGCAACAACCAACATCGCCCCCTCAAATAGTAAGTTCACAGATGTTACAACAACCAATTTCACCTCCACTGGTAGTAAATTCAAATATGTCACCTCAGCCAGTTACGAGTCCACTGACTGTCAAAACAAGTTTGATTCAGCCAAGGTCGCCTCCGCAGGCTGTTAACGTTTCTCCTGGTAACCATCCAACACAAATATTAGCAGTATCTCAACCAGAAGGAACAACCACTATATTACAGATTCCACTGAATGCTTTACAGAATGCTACAAGGTTAACGACAGTGGATGCTTTAAAAGCTGTGAATACATCAGTACAGCCTACCATTACCAATAATCAACTACCTAAAGTGTCAATGACTAACCTCTTTAGTAATCAGGTGTTGCATCAGAGTTTGAATATGGGTACACCAGGTACCAGTTTGTCTTCATTGATCAACATTCAGCCAATACAAACAACTGCAGGAAAGACTGTCAATCTACCACCACTTAATGGACTTTCACAACAACATAGGTAAGGGTAGACAATATTGACCCCAGAAAAATTTAGGGCATTTTTCACACACTTGTATTTATTTGAAAATTGTTAAAAGTTTACAGGGTTCATCTGAGTTTGCTTTTGATGGTGATCCTCTACCTGATTTCATGTAAGCTTCTTATAAAGAGGTATTCCAAAATGAAGAACTATAAAAAGAAAGTACAAGAAGAAAAAGAAAGCGAGTATACAAGAAAAAATATACTTTATCATCATGTTAACGTATAAATAAATCATATAGTTTCTTCTGTGTTTACAAATTAAGCAAAAGAAGTAAACAAATATTGAAAAGCAGTATAAAAATGTATACAATATTTTAAATCAACTGAGGACTATTTATATAAAAACAAAACTTCGACCTTAGTAAGATTTTTTTCATGATAAACCATGGTCCTCTACTAATGAAAATAATTTAAAAAAAACGATTTCTACAACTTTCAAAATATTTGAGTTGTATTATGTCTGATTAGAATGTAATAACAAAAACAAAACATGATAGCTTGATAAATTTTATGTATCTGATAATCAGTATTGCCCATTTCAGAGCCATTTCTGTGCCATCATCACCAGTGGAAGGAAAGGCTAATATTACTAGAGCCAAATCCAATCCCTTTTTTATTCCCTCAAAGGAGCCACCGAGATATGATGAAGCTGTTAAAAATATGCATAACCTTGCTCAGGTAAATACAATTGTGTCAGTATATCTGATAAGTGGCACTTCTAAAAGTAGGTCTTTATATCAGGCATGATTTATTTCCGCTGCAGAGCAAATTTCTGTTCTACCCATCTAGATTTTAACTTTATTATTCCTTTAAAATTAGAGTAAAGTGGCTTACTGTAAAAATTACTCCAACAGAGTTTTGAGGAAGAAGGACTGAAATGGACACTGCATAAGTTTTATGGTCACCATCACAAATGAATATTAAATAGTTGTGGTAGCTTGCTCACCTAGAGTAAGGGACATCTTGGGTTTCTTCTCCCCAGCCGGGAGAAACAAAAGACTTAAGAAATGGTATTTGCTGCTTATCCGCTAAGCATGCAGTATTTAGGAGTTAGAGCACCTTTGAATTTAAACTTATTGTTGATTTTCAAGGTCATATTGTGACAAAAATGAACCTGAATATACAAATGTCTATATATTCAAAGCTTTTTACCTTTTATTGAATTTCACCTGGTCATATGAGTCTCAAAAAAAAAGAGGCAGAAGATCCTAAAGGGAGAATCAAACTCTTTAAGTCGAAGAGAGATGAATATCATGGCAAAAAACAAAAAAAAAGAGGAAAAAAGACTTACAACGATAGCCTACAAAACACCATACTAAATCTTGAGAAAACCCCTTTAAAAACAGGTTCACAACTATATAAAAAATTTAAAAGACGATCTATTGAAGTAAAGGTAAATTTTTTCATAAAGTTTTTTTCCTAGATTACATGAGCATTGGTAAGTAGTGCCTATTGATTTACCATAAGATCATATGAATGTCCTTTATTTATTATAGGGTGGACTTGCAATAAAGTCAGAACCTGGTGTTTCCTCTGCCTCTACACAGGCAATGACCAAGAGTATTAGTACACCAATCATAAAGAGTCAGGCTATGGATGATGTACTAGAAATATTGATCAGACATGGAGGTTTGTTCATACCTGTATCTTATGCAAAAACATTACTATGATGGAAGAGATTTCTGAGAATAAGAATGTTAATAGATCTCTCATAAAAAAAAAATCTCACAGTTATTTAAAAGTACTTTTTCAACCATAAAAAAAATCAGTGAGCTTTGTTAGTGCACAGATATTATTTTCTTTTCATAATGTAAAATACAGGAAATCAGTAATTGTGAATCCTCTGAAAACCAAGAAAAAAATGTGTTTTGGAAAAAAACATAATTTACTCTGGCATGATCAGGCATGTGAATGAAACACTGAAAAAATGTAAATAGACCAATCAAGTGATAGTAAAACTATAATATTACTACACATTTAACAGGTATAAAACTACACATTTAACAGGTATAAAACTCTTAATTCCAATTCCTATTATTGTTAATCACAAATTATCTTTAACAGAACTACCTCCAAGTGCTGCACAGGAGCCTCCACCAACACCAAAGACCACAGCTCAAAGTTTGTCTACATCCACAGTAAATAGTGCCACAAGTTCCTACGGAGGACTAACTTCAAGTGCTGCTGGACAGTTTCCACAATTCACAATGACACTAGCTTCAACAATGCCAACAACATCAACGACCAGTGTGACTGATGTGGTGTCATCATTATTGAATAGTTCACCATCGTTTTCAGTAATAAAAAGTGAACCAATCACACCACCATGTTCGGTTGCTATGACAACTACATCAGACATTTGTACTTCTGATATATTAGACATAAATGAAATGCTAAATCAGGATCTAAGTTCTATGGATTGGACATCAGAATCACCTTTTACACAGTTAGACTTAAATGAGGGAACATGCCTGCCATCAGAATTAGATAAAAATAACCAATCAGAAGACTTTTTACATGTACCTCAAGGAATTAATGGTATGAAACAAGGAACAGTGCATGGTTCTGAACCTGACATAGCTGCCCTTGGAATCAATGACTTAGAAAATTCTCAGAATATAAACATGCAGATGGATGTTTCTGATTGGTTAGATGTGATCATGCCCAGTACAGGGCTAACCCCTTTGAGTGCCAATGCACCTGTTGCGTTTCCGTCAGACCCTATACTTACTCCTAAGACACAACAAGAAGTTTTAGACTTGTTTAATTTTGAAGATACAGACTTTAGCCAAACAGACATGCAGAGTGGAATAAATTGGGAGAAATTGACTGAAACAAATATTAATTAGTGAATTGTGGGGTATTTAATCTCGTTTTGTAGGTTGCAATTTAAATTTTTTATTGTTGCTTTTTTTGCAGCTTTGGACCAATTAAGTGCAATGGGAAACATAATGATAAGATTTCCTAAGCTTATCTTGCAGTGCTATGTTTTGTTGTTGATTTGAATTTTTATTGTATTTATTGTTCAGATTTTATATTTATTCTATTACAGCTCTGAGTTCTCCTTTAGGTCAGAATCCTTGGATTTATCATGGGTTAATGTTAGGATACTAATTAAAATTTTGACAAGATATACATTTATATAAAAATTGACAAATTTTGCCTTTTAAAATAATGTATTTTCCTTTTTACATCAAGTAATCAGTAATACAATTTTGATATCATTTATCATAGTTTCAATATAAAAGACCTTTTTTTTTTTATCATTTTTATCCATAGAATTTGACATAAAGGAGACACTGAGAAGCTGTATTCTGTGTGGTCCAATTTGTATATACTATCTTATATTTATGAGTGGGTGTGTCCCGCTAAAATGCTGACAAAAGTTTTGTTATGTGTTTTGGGTCCATTCTTATCGGATTGTTCATATTGTTGCATTTTGATTTTTACTTTTGTAACAAAACTTTTGTGATCTAGCTTTTTCCCTTATCATTAATTTATTCATTGTTTCATCATCAATGTATTTTTCTATGAGCATTCCATCACAGTTATAACAAAAATACCTTAGGTTGATCAGAGTTGATTGTGTAATGCAGGAATAATTTAACTTCAGCAGGCCTTTTTAAAGATTTTACAGTCATATTGAATGAAAAAGAAAACACATATCTGTTAAATGAAATTACTTTTTAAATTCAAAAAATGTGGTGAAAAGAGTAATAATGTTGATAAGTATGATCATAAAATTTTTTAATAGACTATAAAATACACATTCAACTCTGTTTAAACTTATTTCTTTTTGAGGTTATGGTAACTTTCTTCCATCAGCAAGGTGGCCATACCAGATTTATAAATTAAGTGGGGACCATTAATATAATATAAAAATGTACCAAAGTAATAATTATGTTGGTCAAGTATTGACCGCATGTTGAGGGCACATAAAATGACCATTCTATAAAGTTTCTAAATTTAGAATAGGAAAGTATGTGTGAGGGAATGTGAAAGTAGGCAGTTTACTTAGTTATCTGTAAACATATCATACAAGTTCCATAGAGACAAATGTACACACTTTACAGTCCAAAAAATGGGCTTTTATTACTTTTGAAAATAGTTCTGACAAAAAATTGTTACAACAATACTAAATTCAGATCTGTACTGGTTTGATAAAGAGAACTTTACATGTTTATATTTGGTGAAATATTCTCGCTTTTATCCTTAAATTTTCTTCAGAATAACTAAATTTTCAAATAAAATTACAATAACTATGAATCATAATTCATTTATAAAGTTGCATGTATAGGAAATGACTTTGGAAGCATAGATTAACACTACTTTAATACTGTTTTTTCCATTTTTTTGAAACCTTTGAATGAAAGTTGAATTAAGGTAGATTTTTTGCCCTATTTTGACCAGATTACAGATAACTAGGTATATAGATTAGAGTAGATTAGTTAATGTATGCGTGGTTGCCTTAGTCAGGAAAACAATGCTCAGTATAGCTACTAAACATTCCCCAAAACTGGTATCACCACTTTGCCATCAGTCTTCTATGTAGAGTTTCATTCCATTTCGTTTCCTGTTAGATTTAAGTAGATAGATAGAATGCAGGTTGGATTTTTAAAGGTTTCTTGTCAAAATTGATAAGGTCATTTTCTACTTATATTTTGTTTTTTGGTTTGATTTCCATTAAATAGAGATTAGTTATATATAACTATGGAGTGTATGTATTTTATATTTTAGTAATGATATAGTGATTGTTTGATTTTAGGGGCATTATGAGTTTAAGGTCTTTCAATAAAGCATTCAGGGTTATCTTGGAAACTTTTAACCAGAAGGAAATTATCTGTAGTATATTTCAGTAACTAGAATCAGTCAAGATGTTTGAGAAGCACATACAATATAATAATTTAGATGGAAACATTAGTGCTTTTCTTCAGTGTTGATCATTGTGGGAATAGTCTTCCAGATGTTGATGTGCACTTGTTAAAAACTTAGTAAAAAGTCACCTCTAAAATTTCCTAAGTATATTGGACAGGTGCAGCTTTTAGATTGGTGTGAAGTATGTAATTGAAAAGTAGCCAAAATTGGTAGAATTTATTACTTAACTCATAATATCTCAAACAATTTCCGCATGAATTATAAGTAAGAGATTGTAAGACCTATTTTGTACATAGAGAGAATTGCATGATTTCATGTTAGGATTGTACAGTTTGTATATTGGTTATTGTGAACAAATCAATACAATTGCATAATAATTCAAGTTATTATTTGATAATGAAATTTAAGTTATCATGGCAAGGCCTGTAAGATAATTATGATGACCAACTAGTATGGTAGACCATAAAATGTATAAGTTATACAAGTAGATAAGCATATTCCTTTAATGTTAGTTAATGTAGTAGTGACCTGTAATTAAAATAAAATGCCCAAAATACCAGTGCCATACTTTGATCAAAATCTGAAAAGAGGTTTCAATACAGTTATACTTATATCATGTTAATAAAAACAAACATCAGAAAACATTTTTGAGTAGTTTTCCTTCCGATATATACAAAAGATTCTTATACAATACAATACAATACAATAAGCTTATTCAGAGTCAGTACATTTTAACATACAAACATAAGCTTTTATCAGTTCTGAATCGGTATACTCAATTCTGCAAACAATTAATTCTGATCTGAGATTAATGGACCAGGAGAAAGCTTAATTCATTATCGACCATAGGATTAGTCTATAAGAGAGAACTAACATTTTACTAACTTTTTTAGTTAAGTCACAGATTTTGCTCACACCCCTGTGCACATTGTGCCTTAATTGTTGTTGTCAGTTAAGTTATGATGTTAGTTCATTGTTTTGTCTCAAGAATTTATACATACATTACATTGCTAATGAACATTTCTTGTTTTCTCATACTATTTATAAGCAAAACTATACTAGAATCCCTTTAACATGAAACTATACACCAATTAACCCCAGTTGACTTATTGATTTCAAGATATTTTGATTGGATGGACTAGTGGGCAAATGAACAATGGTCAGTTTGTCTGATAAAGATATAGTAAATATTGAATCACAAGGTGTTTTACTATAATTAATTTTATGTCATAACAGAATCCAAAGCTTTAAGAACAAAATTGTAAAGGGCTATGTTAATGAGTAAAAGAGATGTGTTGATTCTTATTTTCAAATAACAAATTGATGACTCTATAATATTTTTTTTTTAAATGATAAATTTGTTAATTACAAGATATTCCCTATTACTGTAAATATAATGCAAAGTGACTTACTTGGGTTAAAGAATTGACTTTAAAAAGTACTTTAGGATATGATATCAGAATTTGAAAGAGTTTTCGAAAAATAAATCTCCTTTAATTGCATATATATTTATCTTTTTTGTCTTCATCCAACGTTTTATATTTGCCTGCAGATATTTGCTAATTATTCCAGTGACATATGTAATGAAATTATACCCCTTAGATATTGAAAGCTTGCTGCTTGTTGGAGTATTTTGGACACACTTTTTTTAGCTTCCTCTATTGTTATGATTTCAAACATTCATTCAAAATGTTTTGCAATAAATTAGCACCATAAAACTTACTAAAATTTAAATATTTGTCAGTCCCTTTTCTAAAAACACCGAATATTTAAAACTGTGGAATCAATGTGTTATTTGGGTTTCGAATTATGATTACCAAAAAAGATGTAAAATAAATTCAGCTGGATTACCAAGAGACAAACCTTTGAACTGCTGTACATTTCAGATTGCTTCAGACCTAGCGTAATTAGTAAAGCATGTTATTGTTAATATGAGTGCATATGTACTTAATATTGTAAAGAAACATATTGTAAACATAGAACTGATAGATAGATAGTTTGTCTTCAAATGTACTTATTACTATATGGAAAATTCTTCTAAATTTTTTGGGCTTCTGTGGTCCAATGTTCTAGGAGTTTAGTTACGGAAACAGCACTTTAATTTTTGCAACTGACTGCTAATGTAATTTTGTATTCGTTATTTTTCTCAAATCAAAATACAAGCTGTTGTTTAAGCATACATTTTCATTTTATTTATTGTGAATGTTTTAAAAGTTACAAAAATATGAGATTATTTATAATGATTTCAGGAAATGCTGCTAACAAATTAACAATGCAAGTTTTTATTTCTGCGAAACCTACCCTGTTGCAAAAGTTTCTTAATCTACAGTATTCAAAAAAATGTGTGTTATTCATTAACTAAATAAATTGTAGACCTTACAAAAAATATTGATGTTTCCTAAATTACAGTTATATCTATCATAAAATACTTTTCATTTAAAAAAAAAATGTGTAATTCATGGGGTATTTTTCTGAGATCAGTAATCAAGTACATTGGATGACACATATACATTGTCAGAACTGTTTTGTTGTTCCCTCATATAATGTATGTATATTAATGATGTGATTGGATATATTTTCTTACAAAATAATATATTATTTGTTAAGTTAGGTCTAGATGACATGGATAATGTTATTACTAAGGTTAGTTAGGCCAGTTGATAATTAGGTAGTCTCAAATTTGTGTGCACTGTCCTCCATTTTTTTTTTTTTTTTTTTTTTTAAACACTTGTAATGTTAATCAAATTTTTAAATCTAATTAACTTTTTTTTAAAACAACTGAAATTATGAAAAGTAATAAATTTGATTAATTAAACTAGATGTCCTATTTAAATTAGATCAAATTCTAAACTTTGTTACAAACATTGGTATCTGTGGGAGCAGTTCTTAACAGTATTGTGTGATCAATTGATAAAATGATATCAGATTGTGTTATCCTTACCCATGTTAAATAATGATTTAATTAATTTATATTGTTAGTTCTGTTGTGTTTGCTAGTGATCATGGTTGCAGTATGTTGTTAACAGAATGTGTATATTTAATATGAAGTTGAAATTGTACTTTTTCATTATTGAAATTTATTTCAGATAAGTAATTTCTTGTCTTTACTAAAGAATCTGCTTTGTAATTAATTTGAATTTTTGAGAACAATTTTCCATTGCTCTATTTCATGTCAACAAGTTACTATGTAAAATTTTGTACTTCAGATGGATTGCCAGAAACTATTCTAAATTGAGATGGCATAATATCGTAATCAAAAAGATAGATATTACTTTTCTTCATTTAACATAGACTTTTCAAATTTATTCATCTTAACATGATAGCTATATTTAAAGGCATATAAATTCTTTTATGATTTTCATGAAGCTCACCAGAACTTTTACTAGGAATCAACTTTCTAGTCAAACTTGCATATTAATCACAATACTAATATGTTTTTGATACATTTATCTATCAAATTATAGAGTAATTTTAAAGGAGTATACTCATTGAACAAAATAAAAATCATGTATACATAAAACAAAACAATTTTTATTTAAAATTATGCACCCTATTAGAATGTAGATATATAATTAGTGATTTTTTTCAGTTTTGCATTCCACAAAAAAATATATTTATCCATAATGTAACAAATGGCACACAAAATTGTTCCTTATATAGGCACTGCCTACTCGTCCAAGTTTGAAGGCAGAAAATCATAAAAAAACTTACATTTTAATATTCTGAACACATTTTTAGCATAAGAATTTGAGTAATGAAATATTTAGAGTTTATATAGTAGAATGATTCATCCTGTTGGCATGTACCTTAGTCAGTATTTAATGAACACTTTACCATGTGACAGGTTAAATTTTAGATTTGGTGAATTTTTTTGTATGGCCATCAATAAGATTTAGTGTATTATTAGGGTCAAAAACAGTTTAGATTTTTGTATTTATAGAAATTCTTTATTGTAAAAAGTTAGTATTTCTAAGAATGCTATAGCATGCTAAGGACTGAAATTGCAGAATTATAGAAAATATAGTTGGCCTTTATGTTGTCACATGGTTAAGTGAATTGTTACAGAATTTTGTTACATTTGTTATTTTGTACATATATCAGTCTTGAAAAGACCCACATAGGTGTACATTACCTGGCTCTTTGTAAATGCATTTCACCATGTCATTACTTAGATCCAAATAAAAACAGCTTTGATGTTGATTAGTGGTCTTAGTTTTATTTATCCATTACTTGGTTGTTTTGAATATTTCTCAGACTACATCAGCTAGATCCAAATGGCTTCCTCTCCAAACAACCAGGAAGTGGAATAGTTTATCATTGATCCAAGTGTCATATCTATATCTTAAATTAAAGAAGAGTACACTTGTATGATTTTACATTGAATAATGGTGGATAACATCTTAACTGGTGGATATTAGTATTAGACAATGTACCTGAGAGAATTTACAATTCAACAATATGATTAAGGTGATCTTCTAAACATATTGAACCTCACCACATTGTGTATGTGCCTTTCCCAAGTCTGGAGCCTGTTATTCAGTGGTTGTTGGTTGTTGCCTGTTACATCTGTTTTTCTTTTATTGTTCAGGCTGTTTGATATTTTGTTTGAACTGATTCACATTCTATCATGTCAGTGAATATAGTATCTGAGAAGTAGACTAAACCACAAACACTAAACATTGTCCCCTGATCTGTGAAAATGAGGTCAAGCTTAGATGAAACCTGCCATTTAGACATGAACACCTTACAATCATTCCATACACCAAATATAGAGCCCCTATTGATTATAGTATCAGAGAGGTAGACCAAACCACAAAAACTAAACATTGTCCCCTGAACCGTCAAAATGAGGTCAAGGTTAGATGAAACAATCATTCCATACACCAAACAAAGAGCCTCTATTGATTATAGTATATGAGAAATAGACAAAACCACAAAACTAAGCATTGTCCACTGAACCATAAAAATGAGGTCAAGGTCAGATGAAACCTGCCAGTCTGACATGTACATCTTAGAATCAGTCCATACACCAAATATAGCGGTAGTGTCCCTATTGCTTATAGTATCTGACAGTGTTCCAGCTAGGATTTCAAAGGGGCAGGGAGCCAATCATGAAAAGGGCACTTTAGCATGATGATTGATATTTCAAAAAGGGCATGTCAAACATTGCCTTATGTTAACTGCAGGGGTTTCAGCTAGGAGTTTTGAGGGGGTTTAGTAACTTTTACGCTAGATGAAAATCAACCTTATTTTGGGTAACAGTATTTAAGAGACCATGCAAGGACGTATATTACGCAGCGGCGTTTTGTAGAATTATTTTTATTTCATTAGTGAAATGAATTGTGCATGTCAGTTAAAATACTACACTAGATCTGCAATACAGTCAGGAACAATACCTTACATTTTCTCCAGGGCCAACCTGGATCCCAAAACTTTTTTCCAAGGGCCCAGTAGAAATTTTAAGGCCCTACCAGGGTATTTTTACTACATGTACATACTTAGACGCTTTCCTTAATAGATTTGTAATTTGTAATAATGAAAAGTACAGTCAAGCATTGTTTTTACTTTCTTCTGGATTAAAACTAGTTTAAAAGATCAATTTCATAAAAAAAAATCTTTGACATAACAACAGACGATCTACGGATACATCAAACGCAAATTTTCATCTTTTGAGAAATATTGAAATTGAAATGCTGACTGACCGAATTTAATGAGAAAAATTATTACAATGGTAAATTATGAAGTTTAATTAATGGATAAATGACCCATCCGATGTCGATAAGCGGATTATCTGTAATCACAACTTATTACACCTGCTGTAAATGTTAATTAGCTAAGGGTCATAAACTTGTCATAAATATGACGACAGGTAGAATAATTGTATTTTCATCAATATATTACGGCAATAAAGGCATGGACTTACGAAAAAGGGCAGGGCATCTTAAAAAGGGCACAGGGCGGCACTCGGGAAAGGGCGGGCGGACCGCCCTGTGAAAACGACCTAGCTGGAACACTGTCTGAGACACGGATTTGAACACATAAACTTAACCTTGATCACTGATCCATAAAATGAGATCGAGGTCAGGTGACCCATGTCTGACAGACATGTAGAGGAAGCCATATACCAAATAAAGTTACCCTATTACACATGAACTCAAAATAATTGAGTATTGCACATGACAAAAAACTATATTTTTTTTCAAGCAGTCACTGAACCATGAAAATGAGGTCAAGGATAATGGACTTTCGATAGACAGAAACATCTTAACATAAGGTATCTGCATAAAAGGTACGAAGCATCCAGGTCTTCTTTCTTCTGAAATATAAAGCTTTATACAAATAGTTTAAACCGTCGCTGTGGCCCCCAGATTGTAATTCCTATGTCTCAGGCAAGACAAAAACTATAAAGACATTTTGGCAGTTGTAGTAGAAAATATTTATTAAATAAATACAATTACAAAAATTTACAAATCACTATGAAAAACAAATTAGGAGTCAATTTTCAAATTTGATTTGTTCACATGTGGCAAATTCTGTGTACATTATTGTGGCAAGTGAAAAAAAGTCCATTATATTTCTCTTCAGAGACAGATTGTCCTTTTAACTAATGACTTTTACTGGGCAGATTTCTCCTTTGGAAGCAGCTTATCAGAACTGTAAGCTCTATCCACCATGAAATCTATGACACGTTCTGGTAAAAAACTTCCCAGCCGAATCAAAAGCTGAAAGTATATACATGTATACAAAAAATTATTTTACTAAGAACATTAAAAAAAATACAATAATCAATCAGTAACATATACAATTATTTAAAATTAGAGTAAAAAAAATAAATTTCTTCCATCACTTTCTATTTATAGTGATTGTAGGACTGGTTAATACAAAACAATGTCAAACATTTAACCACTATTCAGATTTTTCAAACTACAAAACTGTTCCGATATCAAAATCCTAAAACTAAATTTAAAATACAAAAATATCAGTCATTAAATCATAACTGTTAAGGCCTAGAAAACTTAAACTAGACAATTTTGGAGTGGAATAGGTAAAAAGACTACATTAACCATAAATGTAGCTCCATAAAAGGGGGGGCTGGGCACCCTGGACCCCTAAATCCGCCTTTTTACTATCTTTGATGGTTTCTATCGAAATTGTTTATGAATTGTCTTGACTTTGACATAATGGTATAGTGATTTGTCAATCATTAAATTCTTGATGGATGTTTAAGTTTGATTGTTTTACAGGGTTGGTGTCTCATTGAAATATACCCATTATCTTCTTACATTCATTTATTCAACAACATATTAATGTTACTAGACCATGATTAAGGAGGAACACAAATTAACTCATAGAAACTGATAAATACTGATGATGATGCAACTGCTTACCAATATCATTGGATCAATATTTGTGGTACCTTTTAAACTTGACCTAATCACAAAATTTTAACAATTGTTGATACTCAAAATGCAACAAATTCAACATCTATGCTGCTGAAAATGTCAGAGTCAAAGTGATGCATACAAGTATGAATGGAAGTGGAAATTAAAACAAGCAATATAAAGTTACAATCAAAACATACAATAATATAAACAGATGGACAATAGGATTCCTACAAATTTGTTTTCAATTTCCATTGGCCAATAAAACAGACATGAATTTTGTTGTATTGTGTATACTGCCTGCAACACATATTTTTTATGAATGAACTATTACTTACATTGTCTTGATCTACAAGGCTATTACTTCCATCTACAAGGTATCGTTGATTCGGGTTCTGAGATATAACAGCCATTTCTATAGTATTGACAACTGGTGCTATAGAGTTACTGGACTTGGAAGAATAGTCTGCAATAGATTTGATCATCCCATCCATATAACTTCTACCATAAGTCTGTTTCACTGTCTGTGGACTACTCTGCCACATCTTTTCTAATTCAGTCTCATATGTTGGAAGCTGTAATTCAAAAGTTTTACAGGATATGAAATGACTTTTCAAAAATATATTTTTAATTCATCTAAAGTTTATAATACTGTTGTGATCTGTAAATTTGTATCACACATCTCTTTACATAACGTGGAATTTAAAGTTCATATAATTTTCTTCGGCTTTTGTTCAATAAACTTATTTTTTCTCTATCAAATTAAGCTCACATTTAAAAAGTTTCAAGTTCTGAGTACCTACAAATATAGCTAATTTGGTCAAATTGTAAATGAGGAATTTTCTTCAAAAGTTAATTTCCAATGAGTGACAGAACTGCAGTAGGTATCAGGGGTGAAAATATTTTCCGGCAAACCTAATAATCAGGACTATGTCATGATATTCAACCAAGCGGGGACAACCAAGAACCAAGACTAATATCTTAACCCTAAGAAAATTGAAGAAAACAAATTTTATATTTGTAAATTTTGTTCTTATAAATGTATAAATACATGCTGAGGGGGAAGGAGTATAACTATCCCAAATAGGCTTTAAATATGTGTGCTTGCTTTTCTTACTCATATTTTGTGTACTCTCTGGAGGCATAATTGCAGGGCATTTTGTGCTAACTTACATGAAAGTTGCCATTTCTTAAAGTAAAGTAAAACAGAATATGATGCCATGTGCACACTTTTTCTTATCCAGGTTCAATTGAATTGTGAAATCAGAGTCAAAATCCTAATTTGCCATATTATTCAAAAATTTCACAACATAATGAATAAGTGTACTACTATGTTGGTGTGACCACTACTTCATGGTAACCTCTCATAACCTAAAACTTTAACCTGATATGGGACAGATGAACCAATGCACAGACCAGAAAACATTATGCCCCCTTCTTTTCTAGGACAGAGTAAATTAAAATAGTAAAGAATGCAGGACACAGTAGTTTATGATGAAACTTGCATACAAGATTGAAAATCTTCAGTTCTACAGTATAGAGGATTCTCATTTGAATGTCAAATAATTCAGATAAAATTAATGAGCAAAATTTTCCTACATAGAGCAATATTTACAAACCTTATTTTTACTAAGCATGGCAGTGGATCCTGTAAAATTACCAGGTTCTACAGTTATTACTTTCACACCAAATTTTTTCATCTCCATTCTGAGTGCATCAGTAAATCCTTCTTGTCCATATTTGGTCATACAGAATGCTGAATTACTGGGTATACCTATCCTTCCTTTATTACTGGTTACATTTACTATTCTACCTTTAAAATACATTTAGGATGTATATCAAAAATTCTATTTTATATTGATCACGTTTTAAATATTAAACCATTTAGGGTTTTAGAAGTGTGATGAGTATCCATGAAACTAGGTTATCCTATCCAAATGGATTGATTGCTGTTTAATGCCACTTTCAGCACTATTGTGCTATTTTGTGGCATCAGTTATTATTGGTGGAGATAGCCAGAGTGCCAGGAGAGAACCACGACCTTCGGAAGGAAAACTAACAATCCTAGTCAATTAAGACTGGAGTCCAATGCACCCCTATCCAAATTGATATGTGCTTGTCCTAAGTCTTGTATTTGTCTGTCAGGAGGTTTTTTTTTCTCTGTTGTCTATCCATCCATATGAGTTAGGAAATCTAATTTTTATACTATACTAATGGCCAACAAATGGTTGCATTCTTAGGTTGATATCTCATTGTTTATATTCACTATCAGTATCTCATTTTTATTCATATATTACCATATACCGGTACTAATACCATAATATTTTACATAGGCCATGTACATTTATACCTCCATATAATGAAAAATTCATTTAAAAAACTCCATATCATTATATATTACCTTTGGATTTTCTAACCAAGGGTATAAATTTCTTTGTAACTCTGACTAAACCAAATAAATTAACTTCAGCAAGACGTCTATATTCATCCAGGGGAGAGAACTCAATATCTCCAACACCATACACAGCAGCATTGTTTATCAAGGCCCATAATCCTGTAAGAGTACATCAGTCTTTATGTAATATAAATTATGGCACTATAAAATACAAAAGATTGTAGCAAAACATTACAACAAAGAGAATTATAACATACTGTGGATTTATTATCATTAGTGGGATTTTGGGAAATGAAGAAATTAAATACATGTCAAATTTTGCTTTTTGTTGAATTTTATAGGAGAATGTGGTGATTGCATGATAATAAGATACACTAAAAATCACCAATTTTTCTCCAACAACAAAAAATGATACCAATGAAAATGAATTTTTTATTTTACATCAAAACTTTAGCAAAATTCCAACTTTAACTTAAAGAAATTTTTTGTGACGAGTGAACCAACACCTTCTAACGGAAAAGCTGGTAGAGTAACCAAGATGGATACCGAAGTATGCTGCGGTTGTCTTAAAACCTCATGGAAATGTAATATGTAGAGACAACAACATCTGGGTTACCGCAAGGTGATAGTTTTATTGAGTTTTAAAGTTGTCAAATCAATTATTGTGACGTTACGTCTTGTTAACCTTTGTAACCCCATATGCACTGCATTTCATGTACTTCAGTATTTGTTTTCTATGTTTAAATTGTCCTGAAGACGCCACCGTAAGTGGCGAAACATGTAGACTCAATAAAACTATCACCTTGCGGTAACCCAGATGTTGTTGTCTCTACATATTACATTTCCATGAGGTTTTAAGACAACCGCAGCATACTTCGGTATCCATCTTGGTTACTCTACCAGCTTTTCCGTTAGAAGGTGTTGGTTCACTCGTCACAAATCATTCATTTTTCTGTGAACCCCTGCATCCGCACACGATCCACCTTAGCCGTCCTGCGTTGTAGTTACAACCGTTAGCCTCATGTCTACCGACCAGTTCCATTCTACCACCAACCTCACTGAAGAAACCGCCCATACCTCGAAGAAAAGGAAAACCCGCGAAAAAGAAGACCACCGCAAAACGTACTGAACCGCAGAACCGCACGATTATTGTTGAAATAAACTTGCAACATGGATAGTGTACCACAACCGCAAAATGTAACCAATTCACCACAACTTCCACCATGCCCTACATGTGCGACTACCATACATCTTACAACATTCCCGACGCAATTGGAAGTAGTACCTCTTTCCGAGTGAAGCCTTTTGGAATGGTACGGAATGTCCTGTGAGGTGTTGTCCATTTTGGAAAAAACACTGACAATGCATTATTAACTTTTACTTTCACTTTCATTTTAAAGTTGTCAAATCAATTATTGTGACGTTACGTCTTGTTAACCTTTGTAACCCCATATGCACCGCATTTCATGTACTTCAGTATTTGTTTTCTATGTTTAAATTGTCCTGAAGACGCCACCGTAAGTGGCGAAACATGTAGACTCAATAAAACTATCACCTTGCGGTAACCCAGATGTTGTTGTCTCTACATATTACATTTCCATGAGGTTTTAAGACAACCGCAGCATACTTCGGTATCCATCTTGGTTACTCTACCAGCTTTTCCGTTAGAAGGTGTTGGTTCACTCGTCACAAATCATTCATTTTTCTGTGAACCCCTGCATCCGCACACGATCCACCTTAGCCGTCCTGCGTTGTAGTTACAACCGTTAGCCTCATGTCTACCGACCAGTTCCATTCTACCACCAACCTCACTGAAGAAACCGCCCATACCTCGAAGAAAAGGAAAACCCACGAAAAAGAAGACCACCGCAAAACTTACTGAACCGCAGAACCGCACGATTATTGTTGAAATAAACTTGCAACATGGATAGTGTACCACAACCGCAAAATGTAACCAATTCACCACAACTTCCACCATGCCCTACATGTGCGACTACCATACATCTTACAACATTCCCGACGCAATTGGAAGTAGTACCTCTTTCCGAGTGAAGCCTTTTGGAATGGTACGGAATGTCCTGTGAGGTGTTGTCCATTTTGGAAAAAACACTGACAATGCATTATTAACTTTTACTTTCACTTTCATTTTAAAGTTGTCAAATCAATTATTGTGACGTTACGTCTTGTTAACCTTTGTAACCCCATATGCACCGCATTTCATGTACTTCAGTATTTGTTTTCTATGTTTAAATTGTCCTGAAGACGCCACCGTAAGTGGCGAAACATGTAGACTCAATAAAACTATCACCTTGCGGTAACCCAGATGTTGTTGTCTCTACATATTACATTTCCATGAGGTTTTAAGACAACCGCAGCATACTTCGGTATCCATCTTGGTTACTCTACCAGCTTTTCCGTTAGAAGGTGTTGGTTCACTCGTCACAAATCATTCATTTTTCTGTGAACCCCTGCATCCGCACACGATCCACCTTAGCCGTCCTGCGTTGTAGTTACAACCGTTAGCCTCATGTCTACCGACCAGTTCCATTCTACCACCAACCTCACTGAAGAAACCGCCCATACCTCGAAGAAAAGGAAAACCCACGAAAAAGAAGACCACCGCAAAACTTACTGAACCGCAGAACCGCACGATTATTGTTGAAATAAACTTGCAACATGGATAGTGTACCACAACCGCAAAATGTAACCAATTCACCACAACTTCCACCATGCCCTACATGTGCGACTACCATACATCTTACAACATTCCCGACGCAATTGGAAGTAGTACCTCTTTCCGAGTGAAGCCTTTTGGAATGGTACGGAATGTCCTGTGAGGTGTTGTCCATTTTGGAAAAAACACTGACAATGCATTATTAACTTTTACTTTCACTTTCATTTTAAAGTTGTCAAATCAATTATTGTGACGTTACGTCTTGTTAACCTTTGTAACCCCATATGCACCGCATTTCATGTACTTCAGTATTTGTTTTCTATGTTTAAATTGTCCTGAAGACGCCACCGTAAGTGGCGAAACATGTAGACTCAATAAAACTATCACCTTGCGGTAACCCAGATGTTGTTGTCTCTACATATTACATTAAAGAAATTTTGTATAATTAAAAGAAGACTAAACATGGGATGCAAATTTTGTTAACAATTATTACTCAAGTTAGTTGCTGTTACAATTCCTTGTTCAGTGATATGTTGTAGTAGTCACAATTCCTTTTTTTAGTAAAAATCAAAATTTACAAAAATACACAAGCAGTAATTAGGCCAAAAAGAATCATGATCCAACCCTTTCCTTGAAGATGATATTATGATGGCTCTCCTGATGAAATGTACATTTTCAAAATTAATTCAATATGCACATTTAAAAAATACAATGAAAGTATGTCATTAATTGGTGAAAACTTTGCCTTATTTAATCAGAGATATATAGTAATTTATTGAGACAGTATTAATCCACTTTATATAATACAGGAATTGTCCATTAATTATAACTGTTGGCTTAATAGACTGATTGATTATTATTTATCATTGCATCTGAATTTTTTAAGAAATGTACACCAATTTGCTACATAAAATTTATAGTTTGTCAGACCAAAAACAGTTCTTATGTTTTCTTCAGTATTAAAATTCTGTTCAATTTTTTGTGGCAATGTCTTTCTGCTTCTGTTTATGATGCTGATATCAATTTTTCATATGTATATACCTTTATCTCTGACTTTCTTCTCTATCTCTGCAAAAGCTAGGTCAACAGAATTGTCATCTGTAATATCTAGCTTTATAATCTGTATACTACTGTACTCTGATCTAAGTTGACTGGCTCCTTTTCCATCAGGATTATAACATCCAGCAAATACAGACAGTCCTTCTCCTGATAAACGACGAGCCACAGCATTCCCAAACCCTTTTAGAGTAAACAAAAAACAAATTTAAAATAACATTTTTCAATACTTAACAACCAAATACTGAAAGTTTTGGTTCTTAAGCAAGACATATTCCTATTCCAGCTGTAATGTTATTGTGATGTTGATTTAAATATATTACTGTCACATCTCAATGGACAAGGGATGCTAGTGTTAGGAGAGCATTGAGCTCAATTCACATTATAAAAGGCTAACAAAAATATAAAAAGAGATCTGCTAGGATCTGTTGGACCTATAGATTTCTGACACATACTGTCAAATCAAATGAGTTTTATTCCATCTACAGAATATTGAATACTACTTATTAGAGAGGACATCAGTTGTTTATTTGGGTGTCTGCATGTGTGGATGGGGGATATATAGAAGCTATGTGTTTGATGTCTGTTTTGTCTGGAATGTTTAATTGATGTAACCTGAAGAACTGTCATACAAATGGCAGATTTGTTGTTCTATGACCAGATATAACCCCCAAATCTCTCATAGAGAAAGTCCCTGTACCATTGCAAGAAAATGACAGTAATTTTTCAATATAGTTACATAGGTGGTGTGATGATTTGTTTTCCATTTTTATAAGTGATTGATGATTAATTTCATGACTCCACATTTGAGTTAGTGTGTGGTAGGCTTATTTTACTAAACATGAAGAGGACAAATACATACAGTAAGTATCCTTTGAGTTTGATATAAATGTTATTTCTTATCAGTAACAGTTGCCATGTTGATTGGGCACAATATTAAGCCATTGATCATAATTCCATAAGAATTATTCTATTTAAATATGGTTCCAATCTACCTGATGTTTACTTCAAATTGAAAAGTCAATAATCAGAGACTATGAATCCTTTATTCTGGCTTTACATGTGTTTTTACTCACTCTGAGTTTATTTTTAAATGCTTGCAATTTTTTGTCATTTTTAACAAGCATTTTCAAATGGTAAAAAATTAAATGTCACATTACAACATGTACAAAGCGATCCTACTTTCATTTCAGTTCAAAAAATAAAGGTATTATTTTGGACCTTATCACCACACTTCTCCTCCACATACAGTTGGAATACAAAATATCTTTTACTAATGCTAAATGTGATTCTTTATTTTGTTATAATAATGAAAACACATTATCACCTGTATCACAACCAGTTATGAAGACATATTTTTCCTCTGTATTTATTCGTCTGAAGGTAAGTTTCTGATACACTACATTTAGTATAATGAGAAAAGCTACAAACAGTATAGTTTTGGCGATGAATGGTTGGACTACAATGAATGGGAGCACTGCCAATACTCCAAGATAAGTCAGTTCAAAAGCCTGGAATCCTATAAACTTCTTGATTCCCATTCCTAGGTAACTTCTTATGCTGTCCATTCTGATAGCTTGCAGCTATAGCTCTCTGTAATTAAACAATACAAATGTTTGACATACATTTTTGTACCTCAGAATGAGTTTTCTTAGAATTGTTGGTGCATTTTTCTAACCTTATCTTGAAAAGTGAAATATATGAAAAACACATAAACATATACTGTAAATTCAGAAATTATTGCGAGGTTTTTATTAATGCGAATAATGCGACTGGGTGACTATCGCAATAACAAGAACTCGTATTCTGATGTCTGTTACATATATCTGTATGCAGATTTTCATGATATCGCAATAATTAAACTCGCATTTTTGTCCATTCTTGAAAAATCGCAATAATAAATGCACGCAATAATTTCTGAATTTACAGTAATTAAATGTCAAAAGTTAACTTTCAAAAATTCAAAAATAAATCTGATCAAAACACAGAGATAAATACTTTGCTTTCTATTCAGGGTGTTGTGTCAATTCAACTTATGGATATATATATATAAATGAAGGAAGATATTGATCATGTCAATGAGAGAGAAACTCAACATTAAATGTTTGCTTCACATTGCTTGATACAAACATCCTCAGTTACAAATATGATCCTAAATGATAGACTCAAACTGTATGACAAGTGTAGATGAGTTGTGAATGAAATCATAATCAATTGAACATACAAATTTAAAAATTAAACATCAAAACCAAATTCCTAAACAGGCAAAAAAATCATTAAAAGACTATGACAAGCACAAGTACACTCTTCTCCTTTTCTAAGCTTTTTAATAACATAAAAATAAGGAGATGTGGTATATATAAAATATATTAAAAACACAATTTTTCACTAAAATAAGTTTTTTTATGTGAAGATAAAATGTAAAAAAAACAGTTTCTTTTATATCAAAGTATACAATGTAATCATAAGTAATCCAAAGTTTTCATGATTACTTTAAAGGAAAGTAATAATTTAATGTAAACTATTATTGCATTTGAATTTAGATTTAATTGTTATGTGATTGATTACATTAAATTAGCAAAGTATTTATAATTTAAGTTTTAATCACTTTTTAAAGTAAAAAGCAACATGAGGTAATCCAAAGATGAAAATCTATGACCCATTGACAAATTAAATCATCACATTTCTATTTATACCTTCACATCAATTTTTTGCCTCCTCTTAAGAACTACAAATACATTTTTATCGATTTTAAGGTCTTTTATCACAACAAATGGCTTTGTTTACACCTAGAAAATTACTCTGAGTACTGACAAACCTGTGCAGTTGGAAAAGTTTTAAGGTCTAAAATCTACTAAACATATAAACGTTAAATGCATTTTGTGTTTCAGAAAGATAAAATCTGTTTGGGCATTTTTTCCCGTCACTGCATATGATGGTAAGATAAACCAACACCTGAATTACTTTTGATACTGTCCACTCAGTTACACTCTTTAAATCAAATATTGCTGTGTAGATATCTATTGTTCTTCTATTGTCCATATCAATCAATTGTTACCTGAGAGGGTGCATATCAACCCAACTTAGTTTATGATCCTTAAACTGAGCTATTAACAATGCACTTTATGTTTGCATTCCAAATGCAAATAATTATGACGTCTTACAGTATAATGAATGCATAAATCTAAGAACCAAGGAACATTTCGTTATGCGTGATTAGCAAAGTAGTGTTTTGAAAACTGTGTATTTGATAGTTCAATACTTATTAAATACTTTACATCGTACAAAATAATCAAGTCTGTCGTCCTCGATATCGAACCATACAAAGTGAAAGTAGCCGGAAATAGCCTAGAGTACCACATCCGGTTCAATCGAAAGTAGAGTTGTCTGGAAGTAGGAGTAAACTTGAAGTCTATAAAGCCAAAATATGACTTTAATCGAAAATGATATTGATTTTGAAGATTGCTTTTATTGTACCACACACCTGCATTAATTAATGCATGCATCTTTTGATGAGAAACAAGAAATTTCCACTTCATGTTGTTGCAACAGTGATAAGTTGTCAAACATTTTTACTAAGCATAGTCATAGACCACCTTGTATACAATCTAGCGAACAAGAAATAAAACATAACCGAGCACCAATTAAAAAAAAAAAAAGCATGGCTGTTAAAGGAGGAATAAGCCTAATTAATTTCTTTGTATTCAATTCAGAATATGGACCAAGAGAGGGTGATGTAAGTTTATACCACATAGTATAAGATATGATCCCTTGGTTATTTTAGCATAAACATTTACCTATGGAACTTCAGAAAGCTAGCACTGTTGTACCTATTTATTTTGCTCTACTTCATCGTCATTATAACTAATTGTTCGTTACTCACTTCTGGATAACATTTCATATTCTGCCTCAAAATCATATTTTAATATTTGGTTCGCCCAGAAATTATCTGTTGTATTCTTAAATTTGTTAAAAGTTTTTGCTGAAATAACTTCTTCGAGGAGGCTGTTCCATACACTGTACATGCTGTATGTCAACAACTTTATTGGTTAAAAAAAATACTTCCTGAGATCTAGACGACTTTGTTGTTTCTTCAGTTTCAGTGAGTGACGTCAAGTTGATTTTCTTGTGTTATGCATACATGTATCTAAATGTCTTTGGCAACTCTATTATCATATAATCCGGTCAGTAGCTTGTAGACTTCTATCATATCACCTCACAATCAGTGGTAACAGATGTACATGATGTATCTTGCAATACACTTTTAATTTTCTATTAGCTAAGAAGCCCCAAATCAGTTATCCCTTTTTATAAAAATAGGAGATGTGTAGAATATATCAATAAGACAGGAACCCAATAACACAACAAATCCTAGAGACAAAACGTCAAAAAAGTTTCACCATGTAAAACTGTATATCAGGTTTTTTAGCGTGTTTTATTTTCGCTTTGTTCGTGGCAGCTAAAGAAACGCGAAAATTTGACCCTGCAAAAATTTCCCTGCATATTCCAAGATTTATAGCTTTTTAAAAGTTGCATACATTATACTGTTAATTATCCAGTATACAGGAAATTGATATGTAAACTCTTTTCATCCTAAAGGAGAAATAACATTTACCAAAAAAATCAGCCTTTTGTGTTGATCAACAGATCATAAGAATGTGCATATTTTATAAAGATCTCTGTTTTCATAACAATAAGTTTGGTTAATTATATATGTATTACCTTTTGACAACACAGCAATCTGACATGTTCCAAAATGTTAATAAGCGACGATCTATTCATTATTACTACATGTATAACCTGAACATGCTGCATTTAATGTAAAAATTAAATTATAATAAATCACATTTACATGGATATTTGCACAAATATGCTTTAGAAGGCTCTGTTATACCATCACAAAAATGCTCAAAACTTTTCTCATTCCGCAATGTTTATAATTTACTTTCCTTGAAAGTACTGTGAATTATGTGCATTTCTCATATTTATTTGTAATTGATTATCTGTCATTCAATCAAATGTTTGTTGTTTACATCTTTAACAATACAATTCAGTAATTTTTTCGTGTGTATTTTCCCATTCACCAAAAATTATACACAGTGAAAATTTAACCTGCCAATTTTGTCATCAAATTGCAAAAAAGCAGAAGCAAAAAAAAAAATATTTATGGAAACAGACAATCATGTGCATTAACAATATTCCTGTCTTGGGACAGACAAATGAACATGTGGAATGGTTTATATAAAAATTAGGAAATATGGTATGATTGCAAATGGAACAATTATCTAACATAGAGTCCAAATGATGTAGATGTAAGCAACTTGTTTTATTATATATTATAATATTTCAATGTCCCTTTTAATCACAATAAGGGGAATTTCAAAAAGTTCAAAAAAAGAATGTACAATAAAAAAATCAGTGCAGGAAAAGCACTGAACTCTATAATACACAGGTCTGTATAATAGATTTGAAAAAGTACATTAAAATAACTTCAATATATCATTTTTAATACATGTACATGAATGTGCTAAAGAATTAAAATTATGTAAGAAACAATGATTAATTTAATTGCAGTTAATTTTATTAATTAATATTTTCATATATATAAAAATAGTTTAATGTGGTATATTTTGAAATCACTGCAAGACAAGGGAAGTAACTATACATACATTTTGTTTTTGAAATTCAAAGCATACATGTATGTACACAAATTTATATTACTTAGGGCAGTGCTAACAGATGTTAATTTACAGTATGTTTGACACCGAATCTGTTAATGGAAGCTATTCAATGGTTCAAATTAATTTTGGTTGAATTTAGATTTTCTGATAAACCGGAATTACAAATGTAGATCGATGTTTGAAAGTTGTATTTTTGTTGTAAAATTTTAAGTAAAATGGCAAGGTGCATATATTTCAAGGTAAAAGGACACAGTATGTCAGATAGAAAGGGTGGGTGCTGCTACCTGTGAAAATGGTCTAGTAGTAAAACTGAATAAAAATGTATAAAACCATATCAAAGAAGGCTTTGCGGACTATATTAGCTTACTGTACCTTATGAGTTTTGCTCATTGCTGAAGGCTGTACAGTAACCAATTGTACATCTACCTCATTTGGTCTCTGATGGATGGTTGTCCAAATACCAACCATACCACATCTTATTTTTCTATTGCAGTTACTGAAAGTAAAGTCAAGTCCAGTTGTACTTTACTTGCTAATATGAAACGTTGTCTTACACTGTAATACCTGTGACCATACTTTGGCATGGATTTCTTACAGCAATGTCTTTAACAATACAGGAAAACAAGATTATGTTCAGAAAAATTTTTGTACAGAATTTCAATACAGAAAAAAACCAACATTTAAGTCTTGTTTCAAACTATGAATTAGCAAATTATTCTTTAAGGCTGCACTCTACACATTTTACTTTCTCAGTTTCCCACACAAGAACTGAAAATTGACAGTTTTTTGGTGCTGAATTTACAATAAATAACATAAGCTTTGATTTAGGTAAATAGATGTATCAAAGCAATATATTCCAATTTAAATCAAGCATCAAATATAAGTGTAAATTGGATTTTCCAAAGTACTGCCTGATTCTTATCAAGGCAGTCAATAGAAGAACCTTTTATCCTTACACAAATACATGTACCGGTAATCAAAGGGATATCAGCACAAAAAAAGTATAACAGAACTTCAACAAACTTCAAATATCCTGGCAAACTGGAAACAGCATACATCATTGTACATATGATTATTGCAGATATATAAATTTCAGTAGGATGTCTATATCAGTTTGTCTTAGGATAGCAGTTTTTCAACTCTTTATATGTTTTCTGTAATATTATCAGAATTTGAAATATGGATACCTTCAAACATTACTGGTAACAATCTAGTTCTTGCCAGAAAGCAATTTTTTTATCGTTATTGATTAGCAATTGGATAAAAAAAAAAATTCATTCAATACCCAAAATTGGCTTGTCATTAATCTTTTCCATGTTTTATTTTAAAATTATGACAATCTGACATTTATTGGATTAAAAATATGATATCAATAATTGCCCATCAGCCAGAACTAATTCCTTAACAGTAAAGACAGAACTTTAGAATACACTAAAATGTTTTTTCCAGGAAGAGAAAAAGATTATGTACTACTATCCAAAGAATGACCATATAGATACTAAGATCAAACAAATTGGGCTGTGTGAAGCTATCTGCAAGTTTACTGAGTAAGTATATTTTTACTACCTCTACCTCTAATTAGGTTAAAATATGATGAATTTTGTCCAGACATCAAGGTTTTGATTATCAGATAAGAACTTTTGACCCTTATACAATATCTTAGCCAAACTTTTATGTTAATGCCCAATACGACCAATAAGTTCTCTATTGATTTTTTATGTCACTAGGTCAATGGTTAATGTCTTAGCATTATGTGATAGACTGAAATTGGGGCAAAATTCTGGTTTCCTGAACTATAACTTTATCTGAAAATGACCTTATGAAAGAACAAGACATCTTGATTGTGGGGGTCTAGATCAAGGTCTTGGTCACATTACCTATAAATAGACTGATGAAATTGGCAAAGGTTTAATTCCAGACAGTATCTTCTAAGCCATAAAACAGATCTTTACTAATCTTTAAGTGATTATAAACCTTGGGGGAAAAAGACCCCTTTTGATTTTAGGTTACTAGTCAAGATAAAGATCTCAGTAGCAATTAAAAGAATGAACTTGGGACAATTTTTATGCCCCTCCCGTAGTGGAGGGGGCATTAAGGTTTACCCTTGTCCATCTGTACGTCATCCTGTAATTGGTTTCCGTTCTTCAACTTTAGTTTGCCTCAACCAAATGTTATGAAACTTATGCACAAAGCTTTAATATTACTACAAAACTCAGATCCAAGTTCGAAATTGGATTGCGTCACTTTTACTTTTCTGGAGTTATGCCCTTTATAACTTTATATGCAAGCAGAGGCATCATCTGTGTTCCATGGACACATATCCTCCATTTATTTTGTGTAAGCCATTGGATAAACCCTTTTAAACCATACATCCAATCATGAACAAAATATGTTTGGTAATGTCTCCTCAGAAGAGAACAAATCTGGGTAAAGTTTTGTTTCTTGACAAAATCTTTTAAGCCAGAAATCAGATCTTTATCAAACTTACATGGATTTTAATGCTTCCTCAAGAAAGAAAGACAGTAATTGACTTTTGAGGTCAATAAATCAATTTATATATTTAACTTTGTAAAAAAGAAAAATCTTGGGGAAGTTGGGGAGTAGTGACTGACTCCCAAAATTTTATAGTTCAGACATAGTCTATACAATTGAA